CATACATACATACATGCATACATACATGCATACATGCATTCATACATGCATTCATACATACATTCATACATGCATACATACATACATGCATACATGCATTCATACATACATTCATGCATACATGCATACATACATGCATACATACATGCATACATACATACATGCATACATGCATACATTTTCTTTACCCACTTCTTCTATTTTGGGTCGTGGGGGTCACTGGTGCCCATATCAGCGGTCACTGTGAGAGAGGTGGGGGACACCCTGGACAGGTCTCAGTCCATCACAGGGACACAAAGAGACAAACGAGACAACCATTGCACAGAGAGAACATGAAAACTCCACCCAGAATGGTCCCGGATTGGGATTTGAACTGGCAACCCTCTCGCTGAGAGGCAGTAGCTCTACCAACTGAGCCACCGTGCTGTCCCAGATGTAACATGTAGAACTGAGTCCAAACTCCTCAGTCTTATTCAACCAGACCAGAGGATCTTGATTTTTGTCAGAGGTTCTTCAAGCAGCAGGCAAGCGTTTTTTTAATTTTTTTTATTTTTTACTGGGGAGTGGCTTCAGTCACCTGAGCCCAGACTGGTGGAGGCCTAAAGTTCTGGTTGTCCACACAGAATCTCTGAATCTTAGTCAGACAGACCATCAGGTTCTGGGTGCTCAGTGCGGTGACCAGCTCTTGGTGAAGTCCTGGTTGGGCTAAACTTCTTTCACTTGAGAATTGTTAAAGCCAGAATGCTTTTGAGAGCCTTCAGAGCAGCAGAAGTGTTTCCTTATCCAGAGATGTACCTTGGACCAATCTGAACTCCAGATTAGATTTAGAACTACCATATCTCAACAATAACTGAGCGCGATGTGAGACAGCTGAGCTCATATATGTTGCAGCAAAGGGCTTTATACTTACAGGGACATGTAAAGACAGTAACATGACAAAACTGATGAAAGTGACGTGAGTCTGCAAAGTTTCTGAAGCTGCTGTCAAAGTTCAACACAGCCCATAAATCTCCTGTTTTCTTTGTAACATATCTCACTGTGTCTTAGCAGGCACTGCTCTGTAAATAGTGTTTATAGGTCGTTTTGTAGGTGAATATTTTAATAATAAAAATGATCAAATGTTGTCATTGTTTTGTGTTAGTCCAACCGTTTGTCATATTGAATCTACTGCTTGTTGTCAGAGTTCATGTTGGTACAAAGACAACTGCATGTGTTTAGTTTACAGAAATTACTGAGAAAATACAGCACATGAAGGAAGACCATCCATCTGTTCATCCATCCATTCATCCATCTGTCCATCCATCCATCCATCCATCCATTAGCTTTATCTGCTTCTTCCTTTTTGGGTCACTGGTGTCCATGTCCAGCCATCACTGTGTGAGAGGCAGGGGACACCCTGGACAGGTCTCCAGTCCATCACAGGGACACACGGAGACAAACGAGACAAACAACCATTCACTCTCTCTCACTCACACCTAGGGAAAATTTAGAGTTATCAATCAGCCTAACATGCATGTTTTTGGTCTGTGGGAGGAAACCAGAGTACCTGGAGAAAACCCACACATGCACAGAGATATTCATTCAACCTTTATTTAAACAAATAAATCACATTGAGCCTCGAAGACTCATTTACAAGTGAGACTTCAAGGATGACTGACATGCAAACTCCACCCAGAAAGGTCCCAAGCTGGGATTTGATCCGGTGACCTCGCTGAGAGGCAGCAGCTCTACCAACTGAGGCACCGTGCCGCCTTAGGGAAGACCCTTGATATGAAAACTGTAATCCAAATGCATAGTGTGATATGGTGAATGGTAAAAAATACAAAAATAAACTAGAACCATTGGAAACCAGAAGGTTCCACATCCCAATACATAAAACAATGAGCCATAACATTATGACTAACTCGTCTTATATCCTCTTTTATTCATAGAAGTTTGCAGGGGGGGAATACGGCTGCTTATGTGTGATATGTAACTGGTCTGCAAAAATGTGCTAGCTGTAGGTGAACAACAAGCCAGCATGGCAAGACAGAGGTTTAACATAAGAACATTGCAACAAGGTGTCCTCACTTTTGTTGTTAATCTGTGCAAAGCACTGCATTAAAAAAAAGCAAGTGACACAAAAAAAAAATCAAAATCTATAAAACATTGCATACTGTATATTACTGCAGAAAGGCACATAAATTACTTGTAAAATATGAAAAGTACTATAATCATGTATAGTGTTTTACAGGTCCTTCTCAAAAAATTAGCATATTGTGATAAAGGTCATTATTTTCCATAATGTAATGATAAAAATGAAACTTTCATATATTTCAGATTCATTGCACACCAACTGAAATATTTCAGGTCTTTAATTGTTTTAATACTTGTGATTATGGCATACAGCTCATGAAAACCCAAAATGCCTGTCCCAAAAAATTAGCATATCATGAAAAGGTTCTCTAAACAAGCTATTAACCTAACCATCTGAATCAACGACGTAACTCTAAACACCTGCAAAAGATTCCTGAGGTTTTAAAATCTCCCAGCCATGTTCATTACTCAAAACTGCAATCATGGGTAAGACTGCCGACCTGACTGCTGTCCAGAAGGCCATCATTGACACCCTCAAGCAAGAGGGTAAGACACAGAAAGAAATTGCTGAACGAATAGGCTGTTCCCAGAGTGCTGTATCAAGGCACCTCAGTGGGAAGTCTGTGGGAAGTGAAAAGTGTGGCAGAAAACGCTGCACAACGAGAAGAGGTGACCGGACCCTGAGGAGGATTGTGGAGAAGGGCCGATTCCAGACCTTGGGGGACCTGCGGAAGCAGTGGACTGAGTCTGGAGTAGAAACATCCAGAGCCACCGTGCACAGGTGTGTGCAGGAAATGGGCTACAGGTGCCGCATTCCCCAGGTCAAGCCACTTTTGAACCAGAAACAGCGGCAGAAGCGCCTGACCTGGGCTACAGAGAAGCAGCACTGGACTGTTGCTAAGTGGTCCAAAGTACTTTTTTCAGATGAAAGCAAATTTTGCATGTCATTCGGAAATCAAGGTGCCAGAGTCTGGAGGAAGACTGGGGAGAAGGAAATGCCAAAATGCCAGAAGTCCAGTGTAAAGCACCCACAGTCAGTGATGGTCTGGGGTGCCATGTCAGCTGCTGGTGTTGGTCCACTGTGTTTTATCAAGGGCAGGGTCAATGCAGCTAGCTATCAGGAGATTTTGGAGCACTTCATGCTTCCATCTGCTGAAAAGCTTTATGGAGATGAAGATTTCATTTTTCAGCATGATCTGGCACCTGCTCACAGTGCCAAAACCACTGGTAAATGGTTTACTGACCATGGTATTACTGTGCTCAATTGGCCTGCCAACCTCCTGACCTGAACCCCATAGAGAACCTGTGGGATATTGTGAAGAGAAAGTTGAGAGACGCAAGACCCAACACTCTGGATGAGCTTAAGGCCGCTATCGAAGCATCCTGGGCCTCCATAACACCCCAGCAGTGCCACAGGCTGATTGCCTCCATGCAACGCTGCATTGAAGCAGTCATTCATGCAAAAGGATTCCCGACCAAGTATTGAGTGCATAACTGAACATGATTATTTGAAGGTTGGTGTTTGTTGTATTAAAAACACTTGTCTTTCATTGGTGGGATGAAATATGCTAATTTTTTGGGACAGGCATTTTGGGTTTTCATGAGCTGTATGCCATAATCATCAGTATTAAAACAATTAAAGACCTGAAATATTTCAGTTGGTGTGCAATGAATCTGAAATATATGAAAGTTTCATTTTTATCATTACATTATGGAAAATAATGACCTTTATATGCTATTTTTTTTAGAAGGACCTGTATAGTGTGTCAGGTCCTACCCAGAAAACCTGAAGGCAACAGCTGTTTTAAAAATTTTTTTTTTAAAATGTTTATTTATTTTTCTCCAGTGATTTTTTATTATTATCTCCATTCAAAGTTAACGGTCTGTGGACTTTGAAAAAAAGAGCACATATTATCTGTCACATTTTATGCTTCATGATGGATTCTAGATTTTTAAACCTTTTTATTTAGTTAGTTTAGACATATTTATCTTGGTGTGATCTGCCATGTCTTCATTTCAGACCTGCTTTAATCAATGTGGGCACTCCGACATGTTTGAGAGAAAATATGTCTGTTTCTGTGAGCAGCATGTTGTCCATCAGGCCTAAAACATTTCATTGTTGTACATGATGGTTGTTTTGGACAGATGGTCCCTTTTTGCATGTTTCTTTGGAGCAGGCTTGAAACACATCAAGGAGGTGCTATTTATAAGACAGATCTGGTTGGCAGGCCTCAGACTCATGAAGTCTTGCGGATGAAAGACGAAACATTTCTCCCAAAAAGAAACTGTCCAGATGACCTGATTTAACCCTTTTTTGTTGCCACTTTCTCAAATTTTCTACAGAAAATACATTAATCAGACTCCATGGTTTGTACACTTAATTACTTTGTTTTGTGTCTCCAAAATACTTGTATGCTCTATGTGCGGGAGTGGGGCGCAGAGGTTAGAGAGATGGGGGGGGCTGTGATCAGAAGGTTGTCGGTCCGACTCCCTGGCCCAACAACATCAAAATGTGGGTGGAAAAGGTGAAACACCCACTTTTCATTCAACCTTTATTTAGACAGGTTAATCCCACTGAGCCTCGAGGACTCATTTACAAGAGAGACCTGATTTTAACAAAGAGTGACGACAACAATGGATGATCATAAAATAGGCATGCAAATTTAAGTTTCTCTTTTTTTATATTTTAATAAATCGAAACAAAATGTCCAACCTAAAGGACAATCAAGTAGGAGGAGATGTATGAAGGCAGATGTATGAGCGTGACTTCAATAAATAAAGGTTAAAAAAAAAATGTAATTCAGAGTTTAGTTGTCAATTGGTGCTAATTTCGAATATTTTGATGACATAATGAAATATGCCAAGGTAAGAAGATGATAAATTTGGCAAATTTATATACATATTTATTATTCGCAAAAAAAATCGAAAATTAGCAAATTTAAACATTTGGAACAACAAAGGTGAAAAACTTAACAGAAACATCACAGCAAATATTTCCGACAGTGCCTGAACGCAGCATTCCACTTCTGCTGTGGGAGCAGCGTCCTTTGCCGCCCTCCTCCTCCTCCCTCTGTGGGGAAAACTGAGGAAAAGCAACGGGAGGACCCAGAGGAGGAATCCTGACATATTAGGACTTTTCGGACACTTTGTTTGTTTTGTATCACAAATTAAATGTGCCTCGACGGGACGATATCCCGCGCGTGCTTGGTGGTAAATGTGAGGAGCAGTCGGACCGGAAGCTTGACGAACTGAAGTTAGCCCGCTGCAGCTAACTTAGCTAACAGCTAACAAGAAAAGACAGAGACACGAGTCGTGCGGAGGGAAATGTAACTCGTAATGTTTCCTCCCGGGATTAACTTCAGGGGCGGATGAGAAAGGAATAGTCGAGCGAACAGCGAGCCGGACGAGCGCTGCCATGCGGGGGTTGAGTCGCTGCCCTGGCCGCCTGTCCGAGTCCCCGGGCTGGCCGCGCTCTGTGCCATGGCGCCTGGGGGGCTTGTTGTTCCTGCTGCTGCTGGGGGGCGCCGACTGCCTCGCCAGCCCCGGCAGCTCCTCGGCCAACAACAGCCCCAGTGTCAACATCTACATGAGCGTGGAGGAGGTGAAGAAGCTTTTAGGTAAGGAGGCCTCTCCAAAGGTCGCATATCGGTTTACATGAACATCCTGGGGAGGGCTTGATGAGAAGACATGAAGTTATGACTTCACTACATTAAGTTTCAGCCATATTTGTGTTGCAGAGACATGAATCAGTTTTGTTTAAACACTACTGCGGATCATATGCAGGATATACAGACGTTTTCCACAACAACAACAACAATAATAATAAACATCAAAAAGCTCCAGATTTGTCTCATCAGGCTCAGAAACTTGTCAACATGCATTTTGTCTGGTTTGCCTTTTTGTGTGTTTCTCTCAGTAGTGGAGTCCCTCAGGGTCTTCTTTCATGGAGTGTATAGTAAATGCTCCCAGTGGTCAGATCAGACCGTGGAGTTCATCTTGAACAGTTTTGATGGTTTCCCATCTGATCAACCTGGGGTTGCATTTCCTCTTGCGTCCACACCCTGGGAGGTTGGCTACAGTCCTATGAACCCTACACTTTTCACAGGAACATGAAGTTACTTGGGGCGGCAGGGTGGCTGTTGCCTCTCAGTGAGAAGGTTGCCGGTTCAAATCCCAGCTGGGGTCTTTCTGGGTGGAGTTTGCATGTTCTCTCCATGAATTGCTGCTGCTGTGTTCATTCGTCCTCATCTGCTCACACACACTCATGTTCGTGCTGCTGTTGTTTGGCGCATTCTTTTGTACTATTGGTGCTTCGTGTATTTCTTAGTTCATATCTTGGATCTTATTACTGTAATTTTTTATTACAATTTTTGTTGGATGTAACTGGGACCCTGTGTACATAGTTTTGTTCCACCACATGTACCACATGTGCTGTGAATGACAATAAAGAACCTTGACCTTGAATGTGTGGGTTTTCTCCAGGTACTCCAGTTTCCTCCCACAGACCAGAAACATGCATGTTAGTCTGATTGATAACTCTGAATTGTCCCTAGGTGTGAGAGAGAGAGAGAGAATGGTTGTTTGTCTCGTTTGTCTCTATGTGTCCCTGTGATGGACTGGAGACCTGTCCAGGGTGTGCCCCGCTTCTCACACAGTGATGGTTGGATATGGGCACCAGTGACCCCCGCAACCCAAAAAGGAAGAAGCGGGTAAAGATGATGGATGGATGGATGAAGTAACTTGGATATGCTCTTGTAGACTTTATCTTTAACCTAGATGTGTATAATCTTTCTGAGCTTCTCACCTCTACTTCCTGTGTTCAGTGTGACATGCATGGCCATGTCAGAATCGGCAGCATGCTTGTTTCCTTTAAACACGCTAAGCTAACTAGTTGATGAAAACCTTGAATCTAATAAATGTGATACTAATAAAGATACAAAAAAAATCTGTGATACTAATAAAAATCTAATTCTTTCTTGGCTCAAATAGTGTTTTTTTTTTCAAGTTACCAACAAATACTCCTATACTATTTTAGCATATCTTTGTAAATTAAACAACAAATAATTTTTTTTGGCTTTTTAAACTTTTATTTATTTATTTATTTATTTATTCAAGAAATGAAGCGTTGTTTCTGTGAGTTTTAGGAGTTGTAAGGGTATGTGTCTGTAGAGGAATGCATGCAGGCAGTTCAGTGATGAATGTTATTGAATATGAAAGTAAATAAAATGCTCTTGAAGCTTTTAGTTTTTTACTTCATTAAAAACGACATATTATCAACCCACAATTAGAACTGGGGAGTTCTGAAAGTTGGATTCAGAGCTAGCTGTTCAATTGAACAATGGGTGTTTCTTGTTTCTTCAGTCATCAAGCAACTAAGTTTCAGTAAATGTACACAAACTTAAAAAAATGAAAATGAAAAAATAATTTGTGGGAAATTCAGAATAGTTTCATTTTAGTTCACCCTGTGTGTCTTTGTATTTTGTTGTTTTTGGGAATTAGCTTCTACTCTGTTCTCATGCAAATGTTTCTTTTAAACTAGTTTATTTCAGATTTATTAAAGGTTTATTAAATGGTCATTCTGGAGTCTTGTGAGTCCAGTCATGCAGTGTAATGACTTTGTAAACAGCTGAAGTCCATGTTGCAGCCTCTCACTTTAACCTGGGTTCTTCAGTAGATAAATATGTTGCCAACTTCCAGCGTTATCAGCATTTTTCCTTCAAGCATTAATTGGTAAGAGTCAACAAAATTTTATTTACTGCTGCATATTCATCTGGGCAAAAGTGCCAGGTGCGTCCTTAGAGTATTCTTTTTCACCCTCTGGAGCATAGAGGTGTTAAAATGGACTAAATGGTAAATGGACTGTACTTATATAGCGCTTTATAACAATCTGTGCCTCATTTACCCGTTCATACAGCACTCTACTACATCTCTACAAAGCTAATTGAACAAATGATTCTAAAGAGACTAATCAGAGCTTTATCAAATTCATACACTGATGGGACACACATCAGAGGCAACGAGGGGTTCAGTGTCTTGCCCAAGGACACTTCGGCATGTGACTGCTGTTGGATTCGAACCCCCAACTCTTGCATAGGAGGACGACTGCTCTAACCACTCAGCCACAGCCGCCCTAACACAATGCCAAGTAGGAATGCAATCAGCAGTGGTCTTAGAAAAGAAACTGTTGCTGCTCATCATTTCAGAAAGGGTTGTAGGCCTTATCCAAATAATCCAAATTCAGACATGAATAACACTGTTACTAATTTTCCCAGGAATGAGAGTTCCAGTAAGCTTACCTCAAGTTTCACCAGGCAGTGCTCTGAGAAATATTCAGACTTTGTTCAAGGTGATGTGGACTCTTAGGTCCCCTGTGGGGTGGTTACAATTTGGTTACAATTTACATTTGGGGCAGAGATGGGGTAGTCGACCTGGGACCAAAAAGTCCTGGTTCGACTCCCAGCCATGCCCACATGCCGTGGTGTCTCTGAACAAGACACCCAATCCCTAATTGCTCCCCCGGCGCCTAAATAGCTGCCCACTGCTCCACCTGGGTGTATCAGGTGTGTAGGGTTTAAATGCAGAGAACTAATATTACCATTGTATGGAAATGTGGATGGGGCCGATCCAGTATCCGTATCGGCCTCCGGTACCAGCATAATTTACGTATCGGATTTTTCCGATCCAACCTGCCAATATTTCCGATCCATGATGCACGTTGGCTTCAAACTATGGAATGTATTTCCTGAACGGCGGCGTGTCTCATGAACCCAGAGTAATAAGACCCGCCTCACATTCAGGAAATCCAGTTCATAGTTTGCAGCCAGCTACAACGTGAGGACTGAGTTAGCAGCACTGTGGCTAATAGCTAACAAACTTTTCATCGAAACATGTCCGCTGTGTGGAAGTATTTTACACTAAACACCACAAAACAAGACAGCAACCTGCAATGTCTACAGAGCCACAGCGCCACATTAAACCACGTTAAAGTTAGTTTTACGATGGACATTTGAGCTCCGTGGCTTCAGCGGGGCGCTGCTCTTTGCTCAACCCAAAACAAGCGACTCGACCCCGGCCAGCCGCGTCCAATCTGCCCCGCTCAGTCTGCCCGTCTCTGAGGAGGGACAGACTGAGCGCGGCTGCCCCAAATCAGGCTGCCTGCTTCAGATTGAACAAGAAGTAGACGTCGCTGAAACCACGGAGCTCAAATGTTTACTGAGAAGTTGTTAAACTTCATCATAATTAATGACCAACCACTATCAGTTGTAGAAAACGAAGGATTTCTCAGCTTGATACTTGCAGTCAAGATATAGTTTACCCTCCAGAGATATTTATCAGTACAACAATAAACAATCATAAAAAACATATGATTTGAAAATTACAAGAAAATTATATATATAAAAAAAAAACGAAACATAAACAGCTACATTATAAAGTGATGTAAAATACTAAAAACAGGAACATTTCTGTTGGTTTATGCCATGAACTTAGCAGATGTTTGAAGCAATTTAACATTTAATTTAATTTTATTCATTTATTCATTTAAAAGAAACTAAACAAATTCATCAAAAAGAAAACATTGAATGAAAAGAGTGCAGAAAGAAGAAAAATCTTATATCTGCTCCTTATTTTAAAAAAATATAAAATAACTTTAAACAATCACTTAAATTATTCACTTTAATATCCACTTTAAAGCTCGGAATAAAAATAAACATGTTTTGTGTTAGCAGAATTTAATTCTAACTTTAAAACTTATCCAACATTAATAAAACTTACCTCAAGTTGCCTTTTTGGACATGCATGCATATATTTGTACAAATTGTACTTGAGAGGAGATTATTACAGCCTCATATAAAATCAATGATGATGATATCGGAACAAGATCGATATCGGCCAATATTTAGATGTAGGTATCGGGATCAGAAGTAAAAAAAGTGGATCGGTTCATCCGTATATGGAAACATACAATGATGACAATCTCAGACCTCTCTCCCTTCTCTACAAAGACACACTTGTTTACTTCACACCACCAGGGAGGGATACACTGTGACTGCACAACTCTCAGCCAGTGGTTAGTGGAGTCACATGACCTATGCATGTGACACCATCATCAACAACAACAATGGAAGACGCTGTAGTTTGAACTATGCATGTTGTGGGTCTTTAGTTTAACTTTTTAATGCAAAAGTTGACAGAATGCTACAAGCGCTGAAGGAGATTTAGGAGCCAAGACTTCTAGGACAGATCAGGCTGGTTTGCACGTGTTTGAAGACGAGCGCATTTTATTAAAAAACCGAAACAGTTAAGTAGCTTTTAGCTTCGCAGCACATATGCAGTTATAATTGTGTATGTGCAGCTTGCACAACAATAATCAGCCATGATGGTGGCCCTCAAGGGCCAGGATTGGACACCCCTGCTTTACACATTCGTGCAGAGAATCACAGTTTGTTGCTGTAATCTAGATTATAAAAAGCAACTCACTCTGTTGTACAGTAATAGATGTTTCTGAATAAAAAGCCTTCTATTGAGACATACTTATAGTCTTTTGTAAAGTAAAATTAGATTTATTTTTCAAGATTATTGTATTCTTTTCAGGTCTTTCTGCCTTTTGTTTCAGTTT